GGTTGTGAGAATTAATTTAAGATATCAGACTGAAAAAGTTAGAATTCACATTGGTATTTTGTCTCTTGTGCTAATGTAGGTAAAACAATATCATGCGGGCAATACTCGATTCGCTATATATACAGAAAGTGTCATGAAGTAATGGATAATAGCCAGATTCAATTGCATGTCATAACTGTTACTGTGTAGTCAAGGATATGATTAACAGATTTATAAGCGAATCAAATAAGAAGGGGTCATGATAAACTTTCTTTTTTTTTTTTTATAAATCTGTCACAAGATATTGTCATTCTTTCTCATTTTTATGAGTCCCATTGCGACTGAGGATGATTAGGAAAAATCTAAATCGCCTTACTTTACAGTAATAGTTACATTTCATTTTTAGCTCTTCTACACAACTATTATCATGCCAACAAACAAAGGTATGTGACACATACGCTTATTTATGGATTGGTCTCAATTTTTTAATTATGTTCGGCATTTTACTTTCATTTTTTAGGCATTGTATGTGATTATTGTGCTGCGAAAGATTTCGAAGGTTTACGATATTGCTGCGAAATATGCAAAAATTATGATTTATGTGATGCATGTTATAATAATGGTGAAGAAAGTTTACAACATTCAAAATCGCATCCAATGAATTGCATATCTGAACCAATAATTCGTCAAGTAAGTTCAAACTATGCGATAACAATATCTCTTGTATAACTGATGTGACGTAATTTTTCACACTCGTTTGAATTAGAATATGATTATGATAGCTCTGATACACATTCTTCAGTAGATTTCAGTTTTTGAAAATTGCTTTGAAATTATAATAAAAAAAACATTTACAATTCTAATAGGTTATTCAAAGATCTGAAGCATAAAAATCTAAAAGTTCAAAATTAAAGAAAGCTAAAAAATGAAAGTACAAGCAAAAATTTTCAAAACTAAAAGCAATCCAAAAATGCAAGCGTCTTTGTTCTCTTTCTGTATTTTCAATATGCAGATCATCAAGAAAAAACGCTGAACTTGCAACAAAAGTTTTACTCAATCATTTTCAATTATTAAAAGTTTCTCATTTTATAAAGTACGAATCATATCTTCTTCTTGTGGGAAAAAGAATTACTTAAAATCTATAACTGCTCTTTTATCTTGAGATCGATAATATGTTTACAGAAATTCTTTCAGTCTATGAGAAAACATGCGTCATCTTACAACATCAGTGGTAAGAGCTAGGGAGTAAAAATGAAATTTTAAGTTGCAAAATATCGATATAGTTGAAGTTTCTTA